CAGGTCCATGTGTGTCATCTGGCGAGGCAGAGGGAAGGCGAGAAGGGCAGCTCAGAACAAAACGTGGTGGGCTCGAGTCTTCTGTGCCGGTGTGGGCTGTATCCTCACTGAGTTCCCTGTAGTGGCATTTTCTTTCTTGTACTTGAATAATTGTTTCTATTTGTGCAAAATGAGCAGGTGTAAAGGCACTGCCTTTCGGCTCTGGGACCTTGTTATTCCCACGTGGTGCTTGCTTTGCTCACTTGTGTGAGATGGCACAAAGGTCCCATTTGCTTCACTGCCTTCAGTACCCCAGAATGAGAGTCTCATGCATACACAGCTCTAACTATAAGAATCCAAAAGGGAGATGGAAAAGACTTGTATTTTTTGTAGACCAAAAACCTTTCCAGACCTGGGCAGCAAGACAGAAAATACATTTTTTGTAAGGCTTGAACTTTGCAAGTTCGTATGGGCTCAAAGGCAAGGAAGACTAAGCTCTCCCCATCTCTGGACTTGTCCAAACTAACTACTCTATGTTGCCAGCTTATGGGGTCTTCAGTTGCTTTTAGAAGTGCATAACACTTAAAAATGGAAGGAATGTCTTTTTTTTTTTTTTTTTCTTCTTGGACTGTGATTAGAAAAAGCTTGATCTGTTTATGTAGATCAGTTAGTTTGTGTGTATGTTATGAGAAGGAATGTGAATATATGAAAAACACAGCCATCTCTTCATTCCCCATCTGTAATCTCAAGAGTTTCTAGATACTGGCTGAGAGATTGTGTTTGAATTCTTAGCTGGACCAAATACGTTGGACGTATTATCCTGATATTTCATGCCAATGCAAATGAGAGAAACTCCACTGGAACTCATGATGTTCCACCAGAATAATGTTAGACGAGGGAATAAGGCCACTTCCAGTAGGTATTTTTTGGATCAGATACCTGAAATTTCTCGGTATCCAATGGGTTTGGATTAAGGGGTTTGGCTCAAAAGGCGGTCTGTTGACAAGGGCCACCCCTGACACTGACCAAAATGTATCTGAAAACGTGGCTAGAAAGGTCTTCTGTGTATTTTGGTACATTGTACGTGCTGCATCAGTATTTATTGTGTCATGAGACATATAAGAGATTATGCTATCTCCATCTTCTTAAATCAAGGAGCAGCACTTTGAGTAAACCATACTGGTACCCATTATTTCCTTTCCATAGAGCAGTACTCTGATGCAGAGAACTTTTCATCCGCTTTTCATCATTTGCTTTCCATCAGGGAAAGAACTGGTATCTCCCAGAACTGCAAGCACAAGCTAGGAATCGCAGGTAGACAGAGAGATGGTTACTGTATCAGACGCTCACCAGCTCTGCTAGTCAGCCTGAGCTCCTCTGGGGCATCACCCCTCCTTTCTCCCCAATGTGGTCAGGTCACAGCCTGACCCACAGTTCTGCTGCATCAGAATCAGCAGTGTTGTGAGCAGGGCAGCGAGTGCACCTACCACACTCCTCAAATGTCATTTCATGTTTCCACGTGTGCTTTGTGCTTCTGTGCATGTAAACAAAGACTCACTGTCGGTTCCTAATGCATGAATATTTTTTAGCAGGTGTTTCCCGAGGGCACTGTAGGCCACCAAAAAAAACAGCCTTGTTGCCCAGGAACAGGTAGTGGAAGAGTTCTACAACCATCATTGCTCTGGGCTGAGATACAAACAAAGGACTGATCCAGCCCTGATCTCCTCCTTAGCCAGAGGCACATGCTCTTCATTAATGGCCACATTGCATGACTTGGGGTTTGCAGAGGAAAATAAAAACAGTGAGCTCATCAGAGAAGGAAAGAGAGGAGTGAGAGGAATTGTTGTAAATATTTATATCTTCAGGGCCTTTAATGTGATTGTCATTTTCCCTTTCTGCATTTAAACAGCAAGCTGTTACTGTTAGGGACTGTGATTTTTTAATATTTTTTAAAGAGTAATTTTTAAGCCTACACATCTGTACCCCATGCCTCGCCAGCCTCTACACCTAATATCTAGTCCTGAGAGGAGCTGAGGACACTCAGTGCTATCTCCACAGGTGCTCAGCACCCTGACAGCATCTGACTCATGGTCTGGTGTGTAAAGAAGACTGCCTCATCCAGATAGACTTAAAGCTACTGGAGAAAATCCGCCCCTGGGGCAATTGCATTGACATGACTGGCTGGATTCAATCTGTTGACTGCAATGGCTGTGCATTGGGGTGCGTCTTGTGTAAGGGAGAGATATTTGACATGCCTGTATGCAACTGCTTTCCCTTTGGAAGGCTCTTTGTTGCTCTTGGAGTGGAGGGCTGCGATAATAGCCAACTGCCTGCCGAGCCCTAGATGCAAACTTTTTGCATGAAATAATAGCCTTACGCCCACATAAACTTAAATTGTTTCTATGGAGAACATCCTGGATCAGTCTAAAACCTCAACCTGCTTGCTTTATTAGAAATGCTGGGAGAACCTCAAATGTGTGTATATTTATTTTTTTTTTTAAGCTTATGAGAGTGAACTATATTAACTTGATAATGTGAAATGCATTTTTCATGAGCGTGAGGTGGCACAGCCTTCTGGAATGAAGCATGGGCTTGGGAGACAGAGGCTGGGGGTTTATTACTTCTTTGCAATGTCTCCAGGGCATTTTAGGGTAAATTATTTGAGTCAGGATCTGTATATGTGTGCAGTGGCCAGTAGGAGATGCTGATTTTAGCATGGCTGTTCAGGTGAAACAGTGATTGCTATCTGTTGCTTAGAGCCAGCGCTGACTATGGCTCCTGCTGGGATTAAGAGGCTGGAGAATCAAAGGTATATGACTTTGAATTTGCTGTTACTTCACATAGGGCAGGGGTCACCTAATGAGCAGTATGAGTCTGGAGCTGCAATTAGGAAATGTCTGTATGGTAGGGCTTTGGGATGCCTCCTGTTTCCCCTCTTTCAGTGACTGTGACACCAGTGGCGCACAGCCACGCTGTAATCGCGCAGTATTGCGACTAAGATCAGAGATGTTCACAGCGGCATATCCTGCTGTTTTCTCATTTGGGTTATTTGAAGTGACGTTTGAATTGTGCCGAAGAACAAAGTATGGATTTACTATTCTGTTTCTCTTTGATCCTTCTAGATCATCAAAGAGCCTCCCCCCCCTCCTGCAGAAGACAGCGAGGTGAGTAACGCTGACAACCTAATTTCCTCAATGTTTAGGAAAAGATTTTGTTCAGTCTCTTCACAAGAGGTTGTGATTCTGCTGCACAGCAGAGTATGGACCATTTAAACCTTTGTGTTCAGCTTTTTAACCTTAAAGTCAATAGTGGTTTAGCTAAACTAGGGACTTTTTAGCTGGTCTGCCATGTGTGTTTCACCTTGCTCACTTTGCTTTCTACAGAGGTAGAGATGTGTTTTATTTAAGACTGCAGAGCTATGTATACAGTAACTCCATGGAGCAGGCAGGGAAGGAGGACAGAGGCAGACAATACTTCCACTTGGTCGGAACAGAGTTAGGCTGTGATTCACAGAAAGGACAACTCTTTTTCAGCGTATGTTTAACTTTGACGTTAACAGAACCTAAACATATGCTTAACTGCTTTCCTGGAATGGCACGGTAATGATTTTGATGGTTTAGCATA